CCAGGGGGGGGGTCATGGGGGTCATGACCCCCCCCTGAGCTGGCTCCAGGACCTAAGTGGACCACTAACATTGAACAATTGAACAATTTTATTTATATATTTCGTCACCATACAGATTTTATGTAACTACATACCTTCGATATGTAATTAATATAATATAATAACTTTGTATGATGGCAAACGTTTGGGAACGAACGCATCAATTTTACCGCGCCACACTTGCGCGCGCTTGTCGCCTACGTAACGTCAAGCTAGACCTAATCTCAATCGGAACGACTAAACTTCAACATATCATAACATAGTTCTAAGTTAAAAAACTAAAATTTCTTTCTATATAAGTGTATATAAGACGTGTACCTTTATAAGTATTCTTAAAAATTGTTGCTGCAAATTGAAAACACAGATCGTGATAAACGACCCCGAAAACAGCTACGTTTTCGGGGAATCGTAAAAAATCACGAATTTGCAGTCAAAATTTAGCAAAAAAAGGCGGATAAAATACGGCGAAAAGATTCTTCGACAACGTGTTTAATTCGGGTGAAAGTCTAGACTCGGAGTTTTCGGGGTCGCTGACCACGATTTCGAAGTTAAAATTTAGAAAAACAAAATGGAGGATAAAATACGGCGTAAAGTTACTTCGAAAACGTGTTTAATACGGGTAAAAGCCTAGACTCGGGGGTTTTCAGGGTCGCTGAAAGTGCAAATATAACCGAAACCGAAGTCGCAGCTAGTTGCAGCTAATTTTCTGTAGAAATGTCTTAGCAAAAAAGTCGGTTTAAGAGCCAGATTCGACAAGACTTTTGACATATTGCTTTTTTTTAACAGGACTCCTCAGAATGTCACCAAGGAAAATACCACTGTTTTCATTTATAAATTACTATTTCATATATTTTTAATAAAAATTCCGAGCTAGACCTTCGAATTGTGCTTACTTTCTGGAAAATAATGCATTTTGCAGAATCTAAATTCGATAACTTTTCGCGAATCTACGCGTGTCTGAACTTTTTGTTATTTTCGACGCGCGACGAGTTGAAAATGCGGCAGGCCCGACGCTCACGAACAGAATGGGTTCCCAAGCCAGGTAGGGATGATTTCCCCATTTATAATGGTCATAATACATACTAGGTATACCACTACAACTATTCCAACCATTAAAAGTCCCTAGAAAAAATTAATTTTTTCCTACTTTTGGCCAGCTTTTTGCGATTTCAGACCACTGTGCGTTCCGTAGAATTAAATCGTGGCTAAGATCTTCATTGGCTGAAGATCGCCTAACCAGACTGGCACTACTCCACGTTTACAAAAACGTGCCCATTGACGTAAATGACGTAATAACGCGTTTCGGGAGAAGACGTAAAAGAAAAATTGATTTTGTTATTTAAATATATGTATTTTGTTTGTTTTGAGTTTTGCGTCATACCCCTCGACATACCTCTAGCTGTTATGACAAATCATTCACCACGGTTTGGAATATAATAGCGTGCGTGATAGTGCTTCTCTGGATGTCTTCAAGAGAAGATGGCAATATGTACGTGTAACACATAGTACAAGTTACTATGTGTTAAACTTTTCAAGTGTACAATAAAGAATAAATATTTTAAAGTACAGCCTTGCAATTCTGTAACTCACTTTTCGAACTCACACAGCGGTTTTCACAGCGGCGGTCGCGCTCAAATCAGTCGTAAAACAGTCATTTTACGATTTGGAATTCTGATAAACTACAAGCTCCCTCCTTATAAAATAACTACTTTTTTCTTGTATCTATTGTTATCAAAGTTAAATTGTCTTGACTTGACCACGGCTATGTGACCCCCTCCTGGCGCCAAAGCTGAATCCGCCCTTGACCCTACGGAGCCCTAAGCAGTACAGATGTACCCTAACACATAAATAGTGAATATTGTAAGAGCTTAAAGTAGTCTTCGCCACTTTGAGAGGAAGCGAGAAATGAATAAGACAGAGCAATATTCAAATCTGATTTATTATCAAAGACATTATCTTAAATACTAATTACACCTATTCACACATAAATGTTTTTATTCTAGTGAGCTGTTGGTGTATTGCGCATCTTCAGCTTTTAAGATTTGGAACACACGTGAGCCGTGTCAACTGTCAGCAGTTGGTCAATTTTCAAATGAAATCTGAACATTAGGTTTATATGCAAAGACATTTATGAAGGAAACTTAGGATTTATTTTGCGTATGGCCTAAGGTTTTTCAAATATAAAAGCGGTAATGGCATTGTATACTGCACTTGTTAGGAGCCACTTGGAATGTTACTCTATGATTTGCGCCCCACAAGAAAAAAAAATCTCTAATGGTGGAGCGTATTTAAAATAAATTTACGTGATACATTTACATCATGTTGTATGAAGTGTCCCCATTTTACCCAGTAATTTATCTAACTTTGTTTGTCTTGGGTATGGTAGGATACAACAAGTTAGAGGTAAGGAGGAACCTCACTATCACATTATATTTTTGAAGATTTGTTTCTTTTATTTATGAACTCGTATATTATGATATAGTGTTAGTGTTATAGCACATGGCATATAACACTATGGCAACCACGAGGCCATAAAGGAAACAGAGGTAGGCAATTTAAAAGGTGGGCCGATGAAATCATGGAAATGGCAGGAAAGACTAAGACTTGGACGAGATTGGTATACGATAAGGAAAAATGGAGGACAATGGGGGAGGCCTTTGCCCGTAGGCACACAGAATCAGTTATCGTAGAATAAGGAAAATAACAGTTATAATGTATATATTTTGTATTCTGATATAAGGCTGTAAATAAATAAAATAAATAATATTATGATATCCTTTAGTAATGAAAATAAACATTAACGCCCCTTGTATTTTTATTCACAAAATTACATTAAGTTTTACATATAAATAAATATAAAAAAAAGTATGACAATTTTTTTTTAAATTAGTTTCAGTTATTTATTTCCACACAAATATACAGTATTTACAATATTAATAACCTACATACTAATAATATTAATAATAAATAGAAAACTAAAACAAAATTAACAAGTTTGGTCCCTGTGGCGGTGTACCTTTAACGCTGGCAGCGTTTCCTCGCTGTATTGGGAAACTTATTCTTTGAGATTAAATCACATCCACAAGATAATAATATTAAACCAGTTTACCTTCTCAAATTTCACGGTCTAGACCAGGAGAACTCATCAAATCCTCGAATGGATATGATGAAATGTATTTGTGGGCAGCCGTTGCGGTCCCAATGCTTTTGATACTGCAATACATTTAGTGTAAAATGAAATTCTCGTTATACTGTATGGATAAGTCAAAATATATAATTTTAACTATCCATGAGTCTTTACGCCAGTACAACTCGTATACGCGGAAAGATTTTTTGTTCCTTCTTCAACGGCTATGTCCATAAATTTACGTAAAACCATTTAAAAATTATATGATAAAACGTTCCTTATAAATCATTCTATCTCTTAGTTTTTGAGAAAATGCCATTTCTATACGCAAAAATAATTTTTGTAACCTGTTTAACGGCTAATATTTCAGTCAATTTACGTAAAACCGTATGGAATTTTATATTGAAACGTTACTTATGAATCACTGAATATTATTGTCAAAATCCTTTCAGTAGTTTTTTTATTAAATGCCGTTTATATAGGTACGCATAAAGATTTTTTGTGACCTCTTTAAACGCTGATATTTCAGTCAATTAACGTCGAACCATAACGAATATATTGAAACATTCCCTATAATTCACACTATTGGTAAAATTGCTATTAACATCCATTATTAGGCAGACTGGAGTTTTTGGTAAGTAAAACGTAATAGTCTTAAGAAAAAATGCACATTCGGAGCAAATAAAATATTAAGGTAGTACAGCTAGCCAGCCAGTGGACTGTGAAAAGTACGGGCTGGCGTCCACCTGATGTTAAGGGATACCGCCGCCCATAGACACTCTCAATGCGAGAGGGCTCGCGAGTGCGTTGCCGGAATTTTAAGAACTGGTACGCACTTTTCTTTTTTTTGTGGTTCGGAAACACTTCTGTTCTTGTTCCACATAGTGGTGCGCGGCAGTTGTGGAACGACGGACGTCGTGGTGATACGGGTGAAATTTCGTATTCTGCTGCGACGTCCGATGATGAAACTCAGTTGCGGGTATTAATCCGAACAACCCCACAAATGAGTTGTTGAAGAGTTGTACCTGTAATTTGTATAGTATATGTAGTGTGTGTTTGAGAAAGCTGCACTAGATAACTATATATAAATATATGAGAGGGTGAGATGGAAGAACCGAACAACTCTACGGATCCCTAAGCCCTACAGATGTACCCTAACACATAAATAAGTACGGGATGTCTCGACCAATAGACCTAAGGTAACAGAAGGAGCCCTACGGGTAGGATCAAGGGTTCAAGGAGGTGGGATTATTTTAAAGCTATCGGGCAGGCTCACCACGATAATTAAGGGCTCGACGTAGTCTTCGCCACTTGGAGAGGAAGCGAGAAATGAATAAGACAGAGCAATATACAAATCCGATTTATTGTTATAAAACAATATCTAAAATTCTACTTACGCCTATTCACACATACATCGTATTATAGTTATGAGCTGTCGATGTATCGCATCTTCACCTATTAAAGTATAGGACAGCCACGTGAGTCATGTCAACAGATGGTCAATGTTCAAATTAAATCTGAGTTAGGTTAGAAACTTACTGCTGTTTCCGGGAAGGTTTTACGCCTTTTTGCGTGTTTCACAATTTTAGATGCAGTCGTAAAATATAGATGGACGAATAAAGGATCACAGGATGTTCATTACTTCATTTCACCTACAGTAAAAAATACAAACAATTATGAAATCGAATTCATACTCGGCAAATAAATAGGTGACAACGGGCGAAATAATTGAGTCCTATCTTTTATTCATTTTATTAAATTCCGGAATGAAACGCCGATTTAAAATAAACTGTTTATTGGGGTGCGGAATATGTACAGAGGGCGGCGGCGGCGGTCACGGGGCGAGCGCGAGGTGCGGCGGCGGAGGGTCGGGGTCGTCCAGGTCCAGGGCGGCATCGATCATCGTGGTGTGCAGCAGCAGCCGCAGGCGGGACGCGCTCAGCCCAGCCTCGGCCGCCTCGCTCGCCTCGCTCCCCGCGCACCCCGCGCCCGTGTCGCCCGCCTCCAGCGAGCGGTTCGTGTAGGCGTGTCTCGCCTCCTCGCCCAGCGCGAACAGGTTCGTGTAGCTGCCCGACGACGAACCTGAAACGAGAGCTCATCAAAAGCTGGACTTGCCTTTCGGCGACTCCGCATTAGAACGACCGACACACCTTTCGCCTCCGGCGGCGTCGCCTGGAGAGCGCGGGCCGCGTCTCGGGGTCTCGGCGGCGCTGAGATCGGAGCGGGGAGCGGCGCGACGGGCAAGACGACGAACGTGGCGGGCGGCGAACGCGACGCCGCCGCGAAGCTCGGCGGCAGGTCGTGGCCGTCGGGCGGGACTACGCCGCGTCTGAAAGGAAAGCGGGGATGAAGTCCGTCCACGTCGCGGAGCGTTTCGTCGAATTGAGGAACTCGACCCACCGGTCTATGAGGCTGGGCGCGAGAGGGCCGCACAGCACGTGCCAGCAGTTGGCGCAGGCGTTGGCCCGCGAGTACGGGTTCGGGTTCTGGACGCCGCGACGCGAAGAGAACGAGCCCTTGATGTCCTCGTTGGTGGTCCGGTCTGCGGAGGCGAGGTACGTGTGGAAGCCGGCCAGCCCCAGCACCGACCACACGGACAGGAAGCAGACGGCGGCCGCCAACGCCGACGCCGGACTCTGGCGGAGCGCCGCCGCCGCACCGCCCACGCCCCGCGCCAGCAGCGCCAGATGCGCCACCGCGCACGCGAACACCCACACGCACAGGAACGACAGCGACACGACGAACAGGTAGAAGTAGCGGTAGTTGCGGCGGCCGACGCAGTTGCCCACCCACGGGCAGTGGTGGTCGAAGCGCTCGACGCAGTTGTCGCACAGCGAGCAGTGCGACGCGCGCGGCGGGCGAAACATCTTGCACGTGAAGCAGTACTTGAGCTTGACGGGGCGACCCCGCACGAGGACCTCGCGAGCACGCGGAGGCGGCCGACCTCCCGCCTCGGCCTCCGCGGCGCCGGCCGCCTCGGCCTCGTGGGGCGGCGCCCGCGGAATTATGCCCGGGTCGGACAGGGCCGTGCGCAGCAGCGCGGCCAGCGTGGTCGCGGCCAGAGCGGCGCCGGCGGCCGGCACGGCGGCGGACACGCGGACCGCAAGGAACGGGCAATCGAACGCAAAGTGCAGCGCACAAGTGCCGCAGATGAGGGCCAGCGTGAGTAAGAAGACGCCGGGATGGGGCGCGGTCATAAGCCTGCCGTCGCACCAGAATCGGTTGCGCCCCGCGAACACTTCCCACTTGCGCGTCACGCGCCGGCTGGCCATCGCCACATCACCGCTGCCTGGGTTGCGGCTCTAGCAGAATATCGCTAGAACTGACTAGACAGTCCTCTATTAATCTCTGTGATAATAACAAAATATATAAAAACTTCAAGCTTGATGATTAGCTAAAACTGTGAGGAAAATACTTTAATTAACTGAGTTTCTCGGTTCTCACTTATGGTCAGTGTTTAGACTTGAGTTTGTCTAATATTACTAATGTCAACTGTGGTTCACCATGTTCCACTATGTGTTTGCATTCTGTGTTCATACAGTGTATGCTGAATGAAGGTAAACACTTGAGTTACCTTAACCAACTTCTATGTCAAGATTACGACTCATTCTACATCATGTTGGACAAGGTGAAGTAGTTGCAGCATATCCAGCATATAAGCAATTTGTAGAGCAAAATTTGGCAATTAAAGAGTAGGGGAGAGTATCTTAACTGTTCCCATCAAGTTTTGATTTGAGAACTAGTAGTATATGTAGTAGAAGTCAAACTATTATTACTATTTATTTATCAATTTCTTTAATCCTCAATGGTTCAAATATATCGTAACAGTTTTGTGTTGCTGATTAATTGTTCTATTTTAATTTGTTTTCCACATCTTCAGGAGATTTAAAACACTAACAATATTGGACACAGAACAATGCACTTAAACATACATAAATTTATATGTTTATTGAATTTTACTTACAATTTAATAGATTGGCAGCTGATATGTTAGACGATTTCAGAATTGAAATCAAGATAATATTATATTGTTATCTTCACTTTTAAAGTACTAATCACACATTGGGACATGAATTTACTAAATCGTATCAAATAATTTTAAAATACTTCTAACTTTTATTTTATAAATTAGTAACTTAAGGATAAAAATCTAGCTAACTTTTGTTAAAGTTTCGAACTATTCATTAAGATTTTACCACGAAGAAATTGAGCAGAAAGTAAAAATTTGTACGAGTTGTGTTGCCACTTGCCACTAACCACTTGCCGAGTGACAAGCACAGTCCACAGAGCAGTAAGATGACATGACAAATATGTACACAGAAGGTAAAAAAACATATTGGAGTTTTGGAGAACTCTCCCAAAAAATCTAAAATAGTTTTTTCATGTAAGTTAAAAGATTTTTACAATAACCTTTAAAAAAAAAGTGTGTGTGTGTAACCTTTACGCGCAATTGAAGTAAAACTTTTGGCGCTGACGGCATAGTGATAAATATTTAAATATTAACTTAAGTAATAAATATCATAATATTATAATTTAATTATATTTATTATTCATGTGCTTTACAAAGATTATTCAAATACGAAGGTTAGATCAGCACATGTCAATATAACCTTGTTATTGAATATAGAATGTCGCAATCGTCAGAAAATGTATTATTAATTTACTTATTTTAAAAGTAATAAATCAATAAGTATATTTAGAGATTTTCAAAAAACTTTGCAATTTATAATAGGTATGTTTTTTTAAACTGTTGAAATTTTTTAATCACTTTGCTTTTCTGTTATACAACTTTGTTATTTTTATATAAAAATCTGTTAAAAAATCTTCCAAAATTTTAAAATACGAAATTAAGCGAAAAGACTGGTCGTATGTATAACAAAAGAAAAGCAAGCTAGGATGGGAACCTTCCCTCTTTAGTGGAATTTTAATTTGGTGACATGTTACTTGTATGGATTTTCATTTTAAATATACAAGAATCAGTATCAAATAAAACAAGTGAATGCTATCCTAAATAAACACACCAAGAAACCGACTTAAATCAGTTCAATTAATGCACCACTAGATGGCGCTGACGGACTTATAAAACGCGCTATCGTTGTTATTTTTAAATAACGGAAACTACACAGACTATAGGTATATATATATATGTAATACGTAAGCGTTACTTCCGTCAGAAATAAGAATGGGTGCGTGTACGTATGTACGCTCGTAAGAACTAAGAAGTTATACTTCTTGGGCATTATTAAAAATAGTTTTTGATTGCATGCAAATAATTAATTACAATTAAATAATCAAAGACTGGAAATGGAGTCATTATAGTCAATAAAGTTCAGTTTACATTTGAAAATTAAATAAATATATATTACTATTATTCTCTTACATTAAGTGTAACATAAATTCTATTATTATTCGAATGTTGTTTTTAAATTATGTCCAATGCCGTAGCATCTTCCGTGGGCAACTTCATTCTGTTAATTTTGTGTCACGGTGCGCGCGCATCGTAAAATTTCACTCTTATCAAATTTTCATAACGCGCCTAATTCGCATAAAACGCGCATAATTTCAAAAACTGAGTTACTCCCTAGTCGGGCCTGAAGAAGTTTAACTTAAAAAAAAAAATTATATTGGTATACCTACTGTCAGCAGTACCTCAGCCAACGTTTTGACTATTTTAGTTTTGACTGTATGGTCATAAGAGATGTAACCCCGAACGTAGAAATAATTAAATCAATGTAACATGATTATCTAATTATATCGTAGATAGAGTATAAAACTAGATGAGCTTCTAAAATAACAATAATAACTGAAGAGAGAAGGCATTAATGTGAAATACTTGAGTGCGAGTGAAACAGAGTATTAGTTTTTCTGTATCTATTTGCGTATCAGGTTTTATTTGTATGCCACCGAGCCCTTGGTGGCATACAAGTTTTCACCGCTTACTGATAAATCTGTGAAACCCAAGTCAAACCCATATTTTAAGACTTTATCCTTATAAGAGGTCTATTAAAAGTGTCAGTCGTGGTGAATTGTTGCAAAATTGGCTGTAAAAGCCGTAGTGATCGTAAAGAACCAAACATAACCTTTCATCGGTAAGTAGCTTATTTTGTCACGACTCAGTAACTTTGTTCAAGAATTATTCATTCGAATGTGTATTTTATCACTAATAAGCAATCTTCCATGAATTAAAACTGTAAATACGACAATTCCAAACATATTTTTCAGTGCTAACCGACTAAATTGCGAAGCATGTTATCTACGTCAGTTAGTTGCCACACTTCGTGTCTTTTGTAAATAGTTGGATTATAACTCATTGGGGCTACCAGCACTTGAATTTTTTTTCCACTTTTTTCAGTTTTCCGAATGAACCGTATTTAATTAATAAATGGACTGAGTGTACGGGTAGATTAAACTGGCATCCAACTCAAAACGCCCGGATATGCTCAAGACACTTTGAAATGAGTTGTTTTCAAAAAAAAAATACAACGTTTTTACAACTACGTGCTTTTCACTTCTAAAAAAATCTATTTTAATCGATTATTTTTTCACATCCCAATAATAATGAAACTTTCGATATGTGTAGTATACCTGCCACCTCCTGTAAAGATTGGGACTTTGACACATTTTTTACACAGCGTTGACAGAGCTTTAAACTTAAGCGATGACGTTATTATTCTTGGTGACTTCAATCTAGGGTTCATTAATTGGAGATCGCTAAATAATGAAGTTTTTATGACACCTTGTAATAATAATAACAATACACTTGGCTTTGCCTTGATTGATTTTATGTCTATGAATAGCCTAAAGCAATTTAATAAAAGTTTTAGTATAGGTAATAGCGATGTTCGTTTCTTAGATTTAGTATTTAGTAATAATATGTCTAGTATTAATGTATCAGCCCCCTCCGACTTTTCTGCGAACGAGAGGTAACACTAAACTAAACTTTTATAAAGCTGACTAGGTAGGTATGTGTCTATTATAGGAGATCTGAAAACCATTGATTGGAATGATAGCCTACGCGCTCATGATAATGTTAGTGATATGGTATCTGAGTTCTACAAAATTCTTAGCACCACTATAAGCAAATTTGTTCCTAAAACGTCCATCACGAAATCTAAATATCCGGTGTGGTTCAGTTCTGCCTTAATAAAATAACTTGCTGAAAAAGAAGAAACACGTAAGAGGTATCGAATATACAAGAATCCTCGAGACAAGGTATCACATTATTAGAAAACGTTGTCACAAACTTTATGATGATTGCTACACTAAATATAAGCGAAATATTGAGGCAAGTATTCCTAATAATCCTAAATGTTTTTGGAGTTTTATAAAAAATAAGAAAGGTGGTCACTCACCGCTTCCCTCTTGCATGAAAATTGACAATGTTACAGCCCAGTCATCACCTGATATTGCTAATCTTTTTTCATATCAATTTTCATCTGTATACTTGTGATGAATCACTTGTTGGCAGTTCCACTCCAGACGACATTGGCAATGTTGACGGCTTATGTCCCTTAGCTTTAGAAAAGATGAAATATCTAAGAAAATAAAAGGTCTTGATACTAACAAAGGAGCTGGGCCAGACTCGATTCCTCCTATCTTTGTAAAACGATGTAGATTTGTGTTATCTTTGCCCCGAACTATTATTTATAATAGATCTCCTCAAGATGGTGTTTTTCCTGAAGGTCTCGTGTTGTACCTGTGTATAAAAAGAGAGATATCACCGACGTAAAAAATTACCGTCCTATTTGTATTTTATCTTATTTTTCCAAGCTCTTTGAGTCTGTCCTATATCCCGTAATCTCCAAATGTGTAGACGGCTGTATCATTGATGAGCAACATGGATTTAGAAAAGGCCGTTCAATTCAAACGAACCTCATGTCTTTAGTGACTGAAACATGTGAGAAATTAGATCGTGGGCGCCAGATTGATGCCATATATACTGACTTTAGCATTGCCTTTGACAAAGTCAGTCACGCGTTACTGATTCAAAAGCTTCGTGGTTATGGAATGGGAGAGAATTTGCGGAACTGGTTTAAGTCATATCTTCGTAACAGGCCTCAGTCAGTAGTTGTTGGAGGCGCTGAGTCTACTCCCTATATTGCGCGATCTGGTGTTCTGCGAGGATCCCATTTGGGACCTTTGCTATTCTTACTATTTGTAAACGACGTTAGGAATCATATAAAGCACTGTAAAGCGTCTCTCTTCGCTGATGATTTTAAAATTTATAAAGTTATTAACTCTGTCTGTGATGCTGCTCTAGTTCAAAGTGACCTTAATGGTATACAACATTGGTGCTTTTTAAATGGTATGATCCTCAATATAAACAAGTGCTTTCATATTAAATACACAAGAAAGAAAAAACACTTGTTACTGTGTATAAGCTTGACAGCGCGCCATTGAAGGAGGTTCAGGAGATTCGTGACTTGGGTGTTTTTATTGACAAAAAATTAACGTTTACATCACAGGTCAATAAAGTAGTCACCACATCCGCACGAATGCTTGGATTTCTTAAACGGAGTGCAGATTGTTTTGGTTGTACGACTAAAACAATTTTGTACAACGCTCTGGTGCGCATTCATGTTGAATTTGGCAGTATTATATGGAATCCACTATATGCGATCCATTCGCAACGCGTTGAAAGCATTCAAAGATCTTTTACGCGACACCTAGCTTTCATAAGCAGAGGATTTTCACATAGACACCCGTACCATCAGCGACTTAAAAAATTTAATATGTTATCACTGTACAATCGGAGAAATTTAGCCGGTGTTACCTTCTTGCATAAATTGCTCAATAATCATAGGTATACAGAGCAGTGACCTCTTGCAGGATATTAAAATTGTCGTCCCTTACTCATTCCCTAGGTTTAAAATCAACAATATTTTATCAATTCCTTCTGCCAAAACCAACCTAGGAGTTCAGGCACCTCTCGTTCGAATTCTTCGCGATTTTAACGGATTGAACACAGCTTATCAGGAGCTGGATATATTCGGTAGTGGGCTGATCGGTTTTAGAGAAAGCATTGTGGGGTGCCTTTCTCGAACCTAATTCGCTGTTTTGCTAATAATTTTTCTTTTTTTTTTTAAGTGCCAACAAATTTCTATAAGTTTATTCTATTTTATTGTGTGCTTGTATTATCTTGTAGGTATATGTTTTAATTTGTTTTTTTTAATTTTTAATTTCTATTTCTTTTGTGAAACTTATGTTTACTTTAATTGTCACACATTTTATATTATGTAAGATTTTGTAAAATAATTAGTAGATTTAGTACTGTGTGTGATGTCGTAAGCTTAATAACTAGGTACATCCCTATGTCGATCATTCGCTATCTCACACGCTGTACGCTGATGCTTGGTCTATACCATAGTCCGTCTACGGGCTAGGATCATGTGACATAACTTGAGCGAATGTCATACGGGAATTTGATATTCAAGAGTAATATAAGTATAGGGGAATGATATTCGTTTAGCGTTAGAGGGTCACGCCAGTCAAAAAGTGATTTGATGTTTGACAGTTGACGTTTAGCAAATACGTAAGTCGTAAGTACGTATTTGATATTTTTTACTTTTTAGTAGTGTTGCCAACTTAGGGCTTTTCCCCCTAAATTTAGTGGTAATAAAGATGACCAGGCGGTTTTATAGGGGGTACATTTATTTAGTGGGTACTTTATTCTTTTCATAAAAAAATGTTCTCTACAAACACACGATTCTATACAATTTTATATTAAGCTTCGAACGCAATCAACAAACTGAACCAAATATAAACATCAATCCTGGCTACAGCTTAAATATCGGAAAACAATAATTTCATGTGTCAAATTTGTTCTTCTGACCGTATGATTAAATCATTTAACGTCAATATGTACGATTTCAAAAATATCAGCAACAGCAAAACGCAGCGCGATATCCAGGCCCGATGCCTGCGACGAAATATTAGAAGCTTATCCCAATGATATTTAAAAATATTGTGTTAGAAGGAAAAAAAGGAGACATTGAAGCAATTCGTTTTTTATTTTAGTTCTGTCTCGTTTAACTGTAACAGAACAGATAAAAAAGAAAAGTACAAAGAGCCTTAAAAATAATATATTAAAATTCTGCCAAGAAATGTTAAGAAAAACTGAATTCGTAGAAAGAAAAGTTAAGAAATAAAAAATAAGAATCGTTTTCTCATTGTTATTATTATTAATATTATTCGGTCATTGATTAACATATATAGATATGTTAAAATGTACTGACATAAATACAACAGCTATTTTTACTACTTCATCGTATTTTTAATTCATATTTGAAATTACCTCTCAAACTAACACACAACAAAAAAATTATGGGTTTTTGATCCACATTTAGGGGTATTTGAAGTTGGTCCTAGGGGGAACATTTTGTAGGAGTTGGCATCCCTGCTTTTTAGTTTATATTTACTACGTCTTCAAAGTTTGTGCTATGTACTTTCTAATTTTAGTGTGTCTGATGTGGATGTTTATAAGTTAACGTTAATGGAGAAAATCGGAATCTTGTTGTCGACCTATAAACAGCGAAATAACAGCCTACAGTCTTGTATCATTCCCATATTACTAGAGTTACTTATTAAAAGCTACAAAAAAAATGAGTGGTAGACCTTAAATAGTTGAAGCGATATGTAAAGTGTATTAATAGCCGTAATGAGGGCGCGCCGCGAAACGCTGGTGATAGGGGCGCTGTGCGCGACGTGGTACGCTCTGAGCTCAGCCAGTAATGTAGTTGGCAAGCTCGTGCTCACCGAGTTTCCGTTCCCGCTAACGGTGGCGTTGGTGCAGCTGGCAGCGACTGCGGCGTGTAGCGTACCCGTGCTAGCACTTTGCGGCGCCCCACCGCTGCCGTCTTCTTGCCGACTGCGCGCTCTGGTGCCCCTGGCGCTCGCCAAGTTCCTAACTACAGTCTTCTCACAAGTATCCATATGGAAAGTGCCAGTCTCCTACGCTCACACTGGTAAGCTAAACTTTATTTGTTAGAAGACATGAGAATTTACATGAGAGGCTACTTCAAACTAATTACTTTGTCATTATGCAGAATAGGATGCTTTTCAAAATTTATAGTATTATTCAACTTATTCCCTAATGAAAATCAAAACTAATATTAAACTGTTGGAAGATCCTCTCTTTAGTTAGGAGGAAGAGCAGCACCATCCTTCCTTCACATTTTCACCAGTGGAGAACCGATCTAAACTTGTAATTTTGTATCAGTGCCCCATTACATCAAGTATTAACCTCACTGCTATATCTCTGAGACGGCAGATTCTTTCCCCACTTTGTTCCACTGTTCAGATGTACTTATTTATTTAATAAAAAGGCATTTGACACAGTGAAAGCGACAACGCCATTGTGGACGGCGGCTCTGGCGTGGGTTATATTTGGCGAGCGGCAGTCCCGCAGCGTCCAGACGGCACTGGTGGTAATAGCCGCCGGAGTGGCGCTGGCCTCCGCCACGGAGCTTCACTTCCAGACCGCCGGCCTCGCTGCCGCGCTGGCCGCCGCCGCGCTGCTCAGCCTGCAGCACCTGCTGACTAAGCGCGTCATGCAGGGAACGCGAGCGCACCCGCTCCGTCTGCTGCAGGCGCTCAGCGCACTCGCTATGTTGGCGCTGGCGCCGATGTGGGCGCTGAGCGAGGGCGGCGCAGTGGCCTCGTGGCGCAGGACGGGCGAAGGGTCGAGCGCGCGAGCGGGAGCGCTGCTGGCGGCGGACGGCGTGTTGGCGTGGCTGCAGGCCGTGGCCGCCTTCAGTGTTCTGGCCCGCGTCACACCGTTGGCCTACGCCGTCGCGTCAGCCGCGAAGCGCGCCGTGGTCGTGCTGGCGTCGCTGGCCGTGCTCCGCAACCCGGCGCCTCCGCTGAACGTGGCGGGCATGACGCTGGCCGTGCTGGGCGTCTTGCTCTACAACCGCGCCAAGTTGAGCCGATCGCCCGCGCCGCTGCTGCCCGTCTAGACAATTTCTCGGTAGATCTATTTTGACTGCCTACGATGAATGTACGACGTAGAAACCTTAGTCTTTATAAAATAAATATATATTTTTACGTTCATAGTAAATATATGTTATCTTTTTGTATTGTTATTCTCATTTTGGCAATAATATTTATTATTCACAAAACGGATAATTTTCAGTTTCTGAGGTCATAACAATGATTGTCAGTGTCGCAACAGAAATATTTTAACCTAAGCTTAAGCCATTGTCACGTCTTAACGCGAGGCAATTAAAAGCTTTTATAAATATAAATTGTGGTTGTTTGTTGAGAAGTGTCGTTCAAGTCGAGATCACAGTTTTACGTAATCCATCATTATTATTTCAACGAAACAACATTTATAATGTTTTTACAACTTTGATTTTAATAATTTTTATTTAATTCAAGATTGTGATACCGTCACATAAGTGACAACTGATCAAAACCATAGCTCACAAGCTTGCACGGATATATTTCTCTATAGTATAGTAAAATAGAACATACACCCAGAGCAAATATGGCTTCCAGCCTGCCTGCCTAATCGACCACTATGAACTTGCTTGCTTTACTAGAACATAACAAAGGCAATTGAGAGTCCTTGACCTCATCTGCCACAACTTATTACTGCAGAAGATCTATTCCATGGGCATTCAGGGATCCTTGTTAAGGTGGCGAGCCTCGTATTTAAAAAATAGGACAACCTATCAAAATCCGAGGGCATGTTTCTAATGCCTTGGCCTTTACTGATGGGTGTATTATTCTTTATCAATTTGTCAATTACTTGGCGTATAATTAATTGCAATTTGAAAATGTACGCTGATGATTTAAAATTAACCCAACATCTTCAGCAGCAGTAACTAAACTAATAATTTTAAGTGATTTTTTTTTTTTATTTGGACCACAAAATTTGGACAAACACATGATATAAATTGACATAAATATCAAAAGCGGTGCCGTCCCTATAACATGTGGACACGACCAGCGAAATCAAGTAGATACAAAAAGTATAACATATGTATACTATACATAGTAATATGTACAATTAAAGTAAAGTGTGTTACTTTTTGATAAAAAACATTTTCTGAAGTTTATATTCAACAGAGTGATTCAAATACCCAAGATCTAGTTTAGAAGACGTGTTACTGCATAAAATTTATGAAAAAAAGAAATTGTCATTATAACATACTACATAAGGGGCCAATAACTTCAAGAGGTTGAAAGCATCAGAGACATGGGTGTCATTAGATATTTCACCAAGTTTAGTTACTGTTATAAATAGATCTTCAAATCTTTCTGGTTTTATCTCTAGAATAACAGGGAGATCGGTTATCTTTACCTACCGTTTTGTTTTTGTTTGATTGTTTGTTGTTTTATGAGCTTGTCGGTATACGGCCGGCCCGCTCGTGGTAGTGTTTTTAGTTTCAAGACGAGGGAAGTGAGTGGACGAGTTAAAAAAGGTAGGAATAATTTATTTACATTCGACGTTCGCTCTCCTCAATCACACAAAGAAAGATGCAGTCTACAGCTCGTCGTGCTCGTCTTCGGGCCCGACATCGGGTCGCTCGTCGTCGGCCGAGGGCTCCTCGGGCTCGTCGAGCTCGGCCTGCGCGTCGGGCGGCAGGCCCAGCGCGCGCTGCAGCATGGCGTCGACGGAGTCGGCGAACTCTATGGCCTGCCCCTCCTGCAGCAGGTAGCCGGAGCGCAGGGCGGCCGTGCGCAGGAGCGTGCGAGCCGTGTCCAGCGCGAGCGCGTCGTCGGGGTCGTCGGTGACGCGGCGCAGGAGCTCCAGCACCACGGGGTGGCGCGGGTTTATCTCGAGCGACTTCTTCTGCGACAGCTGGTGCTTGCGCTGCGCGTCGTCCGCCTTCTGGTGCGCGTTGGACATGGCCAGGCGCTCCATGTTGCCGGTCCAGCCGAAGGCGGTCGCCACGAGGGCAACCGGCGAGCGCGCCAGGCGCCGGGAGACGGCGGCGCGAGTGATGTGCGCGCCGAGCTTGTCCCCGAGCCACTTGGTGAGGGGCTCGAAGCGCGCCCGCGCGGCCTCCAGCGCCTCCCTCTCGGCCTCGCCGTCGTCTAAGTCGAACACCTCCTTGGCGATGTTCTGGAACTTGTGGCCGTCGAACTCGGGCAGCGAGGACAGGCAGTACTCGTCGACGGGTTCCGTGAGGTAGAGCACCTCGAAGCCGCGGCGCACGAGACGCTCCGCGAAGGGCGAGCGCTCCACCTCGGCGCGGCCGGTGCCGGCGATGTAGTAGATGTGCTTCTGGGCGGGCTTCATGCGCGCCACGTAGTCGGCGAGGAAGGTCATGTCTTCGCCGCGCGAGGAGTGGAAGCGCAGCAGCTTGGCGAGGCGCGAGCGGTTGGAGGGGTCCTCGATGACACCGAGCTTGATGTTGGTCGAGTACTCCTTCCAGAAGTGCTCGTACTCGTCGTCCGGGATCTTCTTAAGCATGTCGAGCACTTTGCGCACGAGCTTCTTCTTGATGATCTTCACAAGCTTGTGCTGCTGCAGAGTCTCGCGCGACACGTTGAGCGGCAGGTCGTCCGAGTCGACGATGCCCTGCACGAAGGCGAGGTAGTTAGGCATCAGCTCGTTGAACTCGTCGGTGATGAAGACGCGGCGCACGTAGAGCTTGATGTGGTCGGTCTTGGTGCCGTAGCGGTTGAAGCTGTCGGCCGGCTGCACGCGCGGCACGAACAGCAGCGCGCGGAAGGTGACCTCGCCCTCGGCCACGAAGTGCGCGCGCGCCAGCGGCGCCGCCGTGTCCTTGGTGAGCGTCTTGTAGAACTGCGTGTACTCGTCGTCGCGCACCTCGGCCGGCTTGCGCGTCCAGATGGGCTTGTTGTCGTTCATGAGCTCCCAGTCCCACACGGTGCGTTCGGCGCGCTTCGGCTCGCGCTCGGGCTCCGCGTCGGCCGCGTCCTCGACGCGCGCGTCCGCGTCGGCGTCGTCGTCGGAGGAGGGCTCGTCTTCGGCCGGTTGCTCGTAGGTCTCGGTGCGCGAAGCCCAGAGGTAGATGGGGAAGTTGATAAACTGCGAGTACTTCTTGACGAGCGCGCGGATGGTGTCGGGCTGGAGGTAGTCGGCGGCCTCCTCCTTGAGGTGCAGCGTGATGTGCGTGCCGCGCTTGAGCGTGTCGCCGCGGGGGTCCTCGGCCACGCTGAAGGAGGAGGCGTCGGATTCCCACACGTGCTGCGCGTCGTCGTTATGCTTAGAGACCACGGTGACGCGGTCGGCCACGAGGAAGGCCGAGTAGAAGCCCACTCCGAACTGCCCGATCATGTCGTTCGTCTCCTGGTTGCCGCTCTGTGAATCGTTATTGCGTTTTATTTTGGAAAAAAATTGGACTTATGAGACTTCAGCAGCACGTCAACCCCTAGCATCGGGCATCTTGGAAACGAAGAGAACACAATTCCCAGAAAATCCTGACAAATGAAATACGAAACCATTTAACCACATATTAAGAGTCAGTAATTGTTCTGATATTTAAAGACGGGTCACCCGTCCATACGACATTGTTGACTACAGAACCGTGAGCCCTTTACCGGGCCTTCAACATCCGTTTTCATCGTTGACTACTTCTACGTAAAAGAGAATGAAAATACTCTTGCTTTAAAACAAAATGTCTTGAAAGTTATAAAATGACAGTGCACCTACTGCTTCAAACGAGACGACTCACCTTCTCAGGGTCCTGCATCTTGGATAGAAAGTCGGCGGTGCCGGACTTGGCGATTGTCCCGAGGTTGTTGACGAGGTCGTTCTTGGTCATGCCCAAGCCCGTGTCGATGATGTGCAGCATACGTCGCTCCGGGTCCGCCTTGATACGTATGCTGAGGTCCGACGTGGCGTCGAGCACGTCGCGGTTGGTCAGCGACAGCAGCCGAATCTTGTCCAACGCGTCGGAACCGTTCGATATGAGCTCCCGCAGGAAGATCTCCTTGTTGCGGTACAGCGAGTTGATGATGAGCTTCATCATGCGGTTCACCTCTGTCTGGAACGTGAACTTTTGGGCTCGCTCGCGCACTTCGCGCTGCTGCGCCACGCTCAGCCCGTCGGGACTGATCGCTTCCTCTTCGCGGGTCACGGCTTCCGCGTCTGTGAAAAACCTAATGCATGTAATCTAGCAAACGGAAGACGGTCGCCATAGTGACGACCGACTACGTATCGATCGAAAACTGAGGTGGCCGGAAGAATGGAGCGGTGCGAAACAAAGGAACCCGGGGAAACCTCGCGCCCCACCCGCGCCTTCCAGCTGCGCTTCGCGGCGGCCCGTGAGCCCGGCAGGTCGCAGCTTACCGCGCTACGCCCTCTTCGAATGCGTCAGTGAACTGTTCGAGTCTTATATTAATTCAAACATTGTAAATGTGTAAATAAGATTTCTCAACTCAACAGCGCCACTAGTAACGGGCAAGGTGGGCGCAAGTCAAGTGGAGACGCCGCGGGCCTTCCAGGACCACGCCTCGCAGCGGTTACATCGAGTGTCGGACAAGGCTCATTTGCTGCCTCTCACCTCGCACCAGTAGGTTTAAATAGGACTACCCCTATTGTATGGTTATTATTTTAAATAAGTTTTTGTTAAATTTGTTTATGCAGCCAAAAATATTGACAATTATAATGTACAGCTAAAAATAGGTTATTTTCAGATATGGAATTTGGAGCGAGGCAGGTGGACGTTGGCGTGAATCACCATGGTTGCACCATCACATTGTTGATTCATTATGGCTCAAAACTCAACTGAGAGTGATAGTCAGAGATGAGAGTTATAAAAGATAATAAGCGTAAGCGGCTTGCCACATCTGACATATGGTCCAGAAAGTCAAACGCCTTACAAGAGCAACAACAACAAATCAACAAAGCATAAGTAGATTAGGAGATTATATTATTTGCTGTTTTCTAGGTTTTGCCTTACTATATAAAGATATGGTCTATGGTTGAATATCCTCTCGGGAAATGAGTGGTTCTTTAGGTTTGATATCATCTATAATTTAAGTCTTTGTACAATTATTTTTATGAATACTTTGTATATATGTATTTGTTATAGAGCTTATGGGCCTGTAAATGTTGATGTTGTCTCCGCTCCTTTTTTTTAATATAAGTAATATCGTTGAGTGTGTCCATTGTTCCAGTATTGGATCCATTCCACTATATTTATATACAATATTTTCATTTAGAGTTATCAAAAGATTGTTTGTGACCTTATCTGGTCTATTATTATTATAGAAATCTGTCCCCGTCATGCAGGTCGCTTTGTTATTTATATCCTCTATTGTCTTTTACAATTGGGATCCAATTAATATTTGTTTTAAGTTCTTTAATGGCTTTCATGATGCCACCCATTTTATTCCTAACACAAGAAAATATATAAATAATGATAGGAACTGATAATACAAACTGGATTAAAACAAGTAGATAAAAACTTACAACTTTCAGGCTCAATATGTAGATAAAATGTTAAAATCATATGGCCTTATGGTATGAGGATTAGATTAGATAGTTTCGGCTCAAAGATTTTTCCCTTAAGGTAAATTACCTTGAAATCAAATACAATAGAAATCCTTTTTTTATTAACTTTACAAAACTATTGATGTGTACTTTACACAAAACCACTTGGCTTTCTTACATGCAAACATACAGATAAATTTTGAACTGTTCATATATAACTCACCGGTTCTTGAGGCTTCCCGGGATGCACCAAGGTCAGCATCTACAGTCATCTCCTCCACAGTGCCCACTCCTCCCACCCCATCTTCTTGCCCAGCTGACCATCCTGCCAATATATTATATATAAAACATCTATATTTAATGCCAATTAAGGCAATTCATTTATTAAACATTACAACTACTACTGTGCCTGACACACGCCGTCGACTTTTTGGGTCTAAGACATGTCGGTTTCCTCACGATGTTTTCCTTCACGGTTCGAGCGAATGTTAAATGCGCACATAGAAAGAAAGTCCATTGGTGCACAGCCGAGGATAGAACCTACGACCTCAGGGATGAGAGTCGCACGCTGAAGCCACTAGGCCAACACTGCTCTTAATTATAACATATTAAAACTAAATACTTATATATTACATTTTTAAACCTTACCTGTTAGAAATAGCACGCCGACAACAACTAGAATTAAATGTTTCATTTCGAATAGTATATAATAAATACTTTTACATCTAATATACAAATTTTAAACTAAAACCGGCACCTCAAACATTACTTGAAACCTTAAATTAATGCCGTCTACCGTTTGAATAAGTAATGACGCCGATGCCCGAATGTTCTTTTTCTACATCAAAACGTGTCAAACTTTTGGCCAGTGTTTTTTATCACTTAATAACCGTATCAGCCAATCGCATATCATCTGGTTTTGTCAGTCGATCTAACGTTCTCTAAAAACCAATAGCGTCACTACACGACATATATTTTAACAAATGGAAAGAAGCGATAAACAAATGTCTCTATGTGATTGGCAAAGGCAGTGTTACCAGATCGCCTGTCAAGTGTCATATAATGCAGTAGTGAACAGAATCGAAACAATATATAGTAAAATTACAGTATTTAAAGATTATAAAAAGAAACTTATCTTTATTGAACCAGGCTAGACAAGACAAATACCGCTATTCGATATTATAATAAAGATCTACTCTTCACTCTTGGCCTCAGATTGTATCCGTTTCTTTGAGCATTTCTTAGACAAGTCGATTTTTGGTTTGGATTTAAGACATGCCGGTTTCCTCACGATCTTTTTCTACACCGTACGAGCGACCATGAGAGGCGCATGAAAAGTCCATTGGTGAAGCCATTAGGCCAACACTGCTTAATATTCACATTCAATTATTAAGATCTGTGTCGCCTTTGTTTATCTTTACTCTTGTATTTATCACTTCTAAACGCTTTTAGCATTCGCATGTCTGGTTAAAGTTCATACAACTAGTTGAATTTCGCAAAAGAGCTCGACGAGCTAAAAAGGTTACTATTATAATATTAATTAATAATTGAATAATATACTAAATATTAAATATTGTTAAATTATTCACGCTAAATATTTATTATTAATTATTTAATATTTAAAAAAAAAAAGGGTGCGTGTACTTATGTACGCGCGTAAGAAGTTATACTTCTTTGGCATTATTAAAAATAGTTTGGCTTTGTTCCACCTCCAGTTTTTGATGTTTCACAGCGATAAGATGACAACTCTTTTTTTGTATTCAATTTAGTGCACTTACACTGATTCATCAATAGTTTTTTGTCTCTTGTCCTTATATTTGCTAGATTAAATCAGAAAAATTACATGTTTTGATTAAACAATGTGGTCATTTTTTTAATCAAAACATTACTCGATAATAATAATACATACGGATAGTTAACCTCAATTGTATTGAAGCACTTAGGAAGGTTGATGAGCACAGTTTTTTTCACAAATATTAATTAGTATTGGTTTAAATATTCAATTTAAATCACTTCTGATTATAATTCAAAAAGCATTGCTAAATTTCTTTGAAAAAATAATTAAAACTCCTTTATTTGTTTAAAAGGTAAATGACAAATGTCATTATGGTCATTCAAAATTCTTGGCATACGAACTTCACGCATATTCTATTTCTTTTTACTTGTAGATTGTCTTTTTCCTATCTCGCTCGCGCACGCTATAATCACACTCCTAATTTTGTGTCACAGGGGCGCGCGCATTATAAAATTTCACTCTCATAAATTTTTCATAACGCGCCTAAAGAAGTATAACTTCAAAAATAAAGAAAGCCAAAGAAGTATAACTTCTTAGGCGCGTACATAAGTACACGCACCATTTTTTTTAATTAATCGATTGTTTTTTAGCATGAAAAATCGATGATAAATTTCGTGTTGATAGAATATAGGGTTCCGAAAATTTTGAAATTATCGATACCTACTCGTTTGTATTTCCTAATTAGTACTTGTATTTCATTGTTTGCAACTTTCTGTATTATTTAATTCTTACTAGAATAAAGTGTTTTCTTTAATATCCAAAAAGTACCCAAAACCGAATCAGAGCACCCCACTATCCACGTGGTCTTGCCTACCCCTAGAGTGTACATAAAAAATCGGAGGCGCGGAGGAAGAGCTGCCCCTACCTCATTGATATACAAAAACCCAAGATGCACAATCAACGTCTAAAAAACGTCCTCAAAAAATGAGCGCAACATTCTAAATTGTGCGCTCATTTCAAATAGTCTCGCGTCTATAAGTGGAGTCGATGTTATTTATTTGTGTTTTTTTTATAAATAAATTTATGTACTCTTGAACTTTTTTGTGTGTAGTTTTTGACAAATATATTTACGCTATATAAAGTGTGGGTCAGGAGGTAGCCAATTTAACATTTTTTTTTTAATTTAAAGAAAAAACTTTTTAACCGGATTAATGTTATGTATTATTATAAATTTACAACTATTTAACATCCAACACCTTTTGTCTTCAGTCACCGTGACCACTCACTCTGTAAAGCACCCGAAAAGTCGGATAAATTTAAAATTATGTTAAATAGTTGTAAATAAAAAAGTCATGTTCGACTCCACTCAATACCTTGTCCTACCGACCACGGTCGGTCGTAAAATTTTATTGCTTTAAGTACGTATACACTGCGTTGTAATAACAACTTTAAGCAATTCGCGTAAGGTTGATTTTGCAATAATATATGCTTGTAACATATACTGTTATGGACAGAAATAGTGTTTCGGGACACTTTCGAGCGTTACTTTTATTCGAGAATTATTATTTATTATTCGATCAATGCCCTACCTGCTGTAACAAAGCCTCCGCAGCTTCGGCATTTTTTTCGGAAACAGTTATTTAAATATAAAAAAAGGGTGCGTGTACTTATGTACGCGCGTAAGTTATACTTCTTTGGCTTTCTTTATTTTTTTTAAATATTAAATAATTAATAATAAATATGTAACGTTAATAATTTAATAATATTTAGTATATTATTCAATTATTAATTAATATTAATGTAAAGAAACTTGCATGTTTCTTTGATATGTAATAGATGACGCCATCGGCCATCTTGGTTTGAAGAAGAAGTTTGACAAGTGAAAAGTCATCGTTATTAATAAATTGTTTGATTGTGAAATTGTAAAAAGGAATTGATAATTTTATAATAAACTTTTAATGTCGTTTCCTTGTTTTCAGGTATTGTTATATTGTTATTTAGGTTTAGAATAATATAATTAGTATAGTGTGTTAATAATAAAATAAATAACCTTGTTTTCAGAGAAACACAATTGTTTATTTTCAATTCCATATAAAAAGATATAATCTTATATTAATAATTATTATTATTTATTATTTTATTATATTATTCATTCAATTTAATAACTACGTATGTTTCATAACCTTTTAACTAAGTAACAATAGGTCTTTGTTAAAAAGCATTGCTAAATTTCTTTGAAAAGATAATTAAAACTCCTTTATTTGTTTAAAAGGTAAATGTCATTATGTTCATTCAAAATTCTTGGCATAGCTGCTAACTTCACGCATATTCTATTTCTTTTTACTAGTAGATTGTCTTATTCCCATCTCGCTCGCGCACGCCCGGCTGGTTTAAAAAGAATTCGTTAGTGGGCAACTTCGTACTGATAATTTTGTGTCACGGTGCGCGCGCATCGTAAAATTTTACTCTCATCAATTTTTCATAACGCGCCTAAAGAAGTATAACTTCAATAAAAAAATCCAAAACTAACCTACCCTAACCCCATTGCTTGTGGCGGCGTCCATGCGTCGGGTTGTCTCTCTCCCTAAAATATGGCGAGGGGGCCGATGGCTGGCCATGCGTCATACTCGTGAACGGGTGCTACTTGTGGTGACTGGTCGTACTTGAATTCGTGTATGCGGTGATGTTAATTATTTCGACTATGTGTTTGCGTGTTGTTCCCACGAGAATGTAAGTGCGTGCTCCTATTTCACCATGCCTCCTGCTGATAGAGGACAAGTCTTTGTTTTTAATTTATGTTATTATTATTAATTACTTAAGATGTCATGTGGAACATGGTTTAATGGTTGCAGCTCCTTACAAACGTTGTGTAAAAAAAACAAAAAACATGGCGATTAAAAAGAGTGGCGGAGAGTTTATTGCCAGTTCTTCTCTTCCGTTCTACGCCCTTGATTTGTGAACTGGCAGTAAATGTAAAATTAGAAGCATTAATATGTATTTCTTTAATGACGAATCACAAGTGTACATTGTGTTACCTACGTGAATAATGATTTTTGAATTTTGAATTTGAATTTAACCCGTTTTTTTTCTTTTATTTGTTTTGAATTTCTTTTTCTATTTTTTATTATATACTAACCTAACCTAACCGAACAATAATAATAACAGATTTTTTGGACAGCTCCGGCGCTACGGGAAATGCGTACCAAAACACAGGCATTTTATTCAAGCCTCCGCAGCTTCGGCTTGCATAATGCCTGTGCTTTGTTACAGCGGATGGGGGCTGCTCTTCCCCCGCGCCTCCGATTTTTTTATATACACTAGGGATAGGGCAGACAAGACCACGTGGATAGTGGGGTGCTCCGATTCGGTTTTGGGTACTTTTTGGATATTAATTAAGTGATTGATGTTTGACATCAATTATTTGTAAATTTATTTTGTAATGGCCTAACTTAACCGATTTTCCAAATCAAATCCAAATAAAATAACTGACTGACAAAATCTACATTCGAAATGGCGGTTTCCGTTTATTACGCACATCCGGCAGCAAAAATCACTTGGAGGTGTTCCAATCAAGGTCCCCCGATACTCCTGCATAATCAGTATCGTCAAATTCGTGCGACTGATTTCTAAACTCAACCCAAACTTGGCTATATTTTGCACTTTGATTGAATTGCTTTTCTGCACGACTTTAGCATACATACTAGACACTGATTTCTTGTGATGGCGTTTGGAATTAGTGGACGTGGACGTGATTCAGAACCTGAGCCGTCCATGAGTTCTATGCTTGGTAGACGACCGGTCTTTTGTGGATGACTTTGAGGACGATACAAAGAAGGGTTACGGTAGGTTAGGTTTGGGTAGGTAATATTTTTTTTTTTTTTTTTTTTTATTTAAATAACTGTTTCCGGCGCCTGAAATTAGTTTGGGGTGATGACTATATACCCTCTCCCCACAACGCC